TTTACTGGGAGCCGCTCTTTCGCCATCTCGAAACATAACTACTGCGACGTTTTGAATATGTAAGGTGGATGAGACATTACAGGCTCCATAGGTTGTAATATCCTGATAGTATATCCCCAGAGTATATCGCGGCCCAAGTGGTTACATCACATAGATGTGTTGCAGTCCAGACCACTGAGCTGGACTGTTTCACAGGATAATTGGCAGCTGTCCATGTGATTAACAGGCTTACAGAATCCATGAATGACTTAAAGGTCCTAGACGATCGAACCATGTCTATTACAGTGTGTATGCATACCAGGATTAATAATGAAATATATATTACACTTGTATTATATTGCCGGTTCAGATTTACAAAAATCCTTTACGCGATGACAGCATAATAATTTTATTACGTACACAGTTTCCAATGTCACGAATCATATTCGATGTTCACTGTTGCATTAGAATCCAACAGTAATATAAATATGTACCGGCATGTCCTACATGAGTTGTGCAATAACCATGACAATCGATCACCATGAAGAGGGATATGTTGGTACGGAAGATAATGTAATTATTGCTGATGCGTTAACAGTTGTACAACTTGGTCGACGACATCTAAAGTTAACTCAGTGAGAGTCACGCAACTTATTATGAACAGCAGTCGCATGGAATAGAGAAAAACTTTGAGCAGGCGTGCAAAAATGAAGGTGCAATAAGGAAACCGGCTAAAGGGGGACGGGAGAAAATGTTGTTATTGCTCGCATCATTATCTAAGGCTAAGAGAGCACGAACGGCAGAACAGACCAGATTTGCGACTGTAAAATTCTCTACGGTAAATCAAGCGAAAGCTTTTAATGAGTGAAACATCGGTTTTATTATGCTTTCATGATTGAACTATGTCTGGCTCCCATCTTTTGATGAAGTTAATGGTGAGGCGCTCATCTATATTTCAATGCCATCAACCAGTAGTGCCTAATTTTCAGCCAAATCGGAGCCGGCCTCAGCCGCGTGGCAATCACATTGTGTAGTCGCCTGTTACCTTCCTACAGAGTGATACTCATTTTTTAACCTTTTAAGGAAGAGAGGCGAGTCACCTGACAAGAGCTCGTATTCTCTCGGTTATGACTCACACGCTCAGTCGAGAGGAGGCAGGGAGTTCAAAGAGAAATGTACACTTCTGCTGTAATAATGAGCGCATGCATGTCATTATTAATCTATGTTAATCCTGTACTATGGGCAAAACCGATCCAATAATTTCGCCAAAAATTAAATCATTCGTTCGTATTGAATTCATTCCGCTGTTGCTTGCACGTCGCGAGGGCATTCGCTTCAGGGGTCTTTTCGGATAGTCCTGATTTTCCTCCAACCAGCTGACCTTCATGGGATGGATTTCAAACCGAAAACAATGCAAGCCGCCTGCACATCGAGTCTTCAGGAAAATAATAAGAAAATTTGCTAATTTACGTATTTCTACAACTTTTTTTTCGTTTATAAGCATTTGATCAATTAGGACACCTGCAATTCAGGTAAACATGGCCATTTCTTAATGGGACGTCCGTCACCAACATTCGTCAACCGAAAGGGCCAGTTCACACTCGCCGTCAACATCAACACACGCTCCAGTTAGCAATGGGAATGTGGACGCTTATGGACGGTGAACTACTTCTCGCTGAAGACTGTCGACGAAAACACGTCTGCAGCAAACAGGTGCACTCTGGAAACCGGTCTAATAGAGCTGGCGATAGTCGTTGAACACTGCAGGCGAAAAGTGCAAAAACAGTGAGATTTCGGGGGCCTGGGATTCTTCAACAGAAAGGGTAAAGGGTAGAAAATACCACCTGGTCTAATGGAATAGCGGCAGCACGTGTCAAAGAAATGCTTCGAGATCTCTTAACATCTTAATAGACAAGAAAGTGACCAGAAGGACGTCCGACAGATCCATAATGACAAGGCTGAATCTGTTGTTATTTTTCTATTCTTATTTGATGAAAGCAGACGTTACGAATCTTCGTTTGCTGATCCGATTATAACAGACCTGCTAGATCCCTCCTAACGACATCCAATCACGTTATGATCTGCTCACTTGATGCTCTGATCTCGATTCTGGTCTGTAGCAACTCTTTAATCAACTTCTTAACGTTGTTCAACTAACCGTGATCTTATCGCCTTATATGACTTGTCTACAGTATCATTCTATCGATATCCTTGATGTCAGCTCAATTCGACATTAGCGGACATGACCAGAGCCTTCATAATTAATTACATTAATAGGCGACTGAACATCCGTGACTGTATTTGGCAGGCACAATAGGGGCAACTCTGCATAAGCCATAAAAAACGACCATGGCATTGAAATGCAGTTGTTCCATCTTACATGATCATTCGAATTATCCTACGGTGTAGGCGTGTGAGGAGAGGATTTCCAGCGGAACCGTTTCAAGAACATAAAGTAGAAGGTTGAGAAAACTAAGTACATAAAAATCTTCGGTCACTTCTGCAGATTCAGGTGGCGCAATCGCAATGAACCTTTGCATCTAGTAGCTTATGTGACCGCTTAAGCGAGCCATGGCTAAATTGTATTTTAGCATCTTCATGGAAAACGCGCAAAACCGCATATTTGTTTGATCGAATAGAAGCCTGTTCGAACACCAACGGATATACCTTGATCGCTGGGCGTATATTTAAAGGTTAACCAGATGTGAATGCATTGTTTTTATTTTACAGCGAAAGAAAATAAGAAGTGTTACGACCTCGCAACTTAGCAGCTTCCGTTAAGTCGCTTCTCGTCTCCCAGACTTTCCACATCCTAACATTTTCCAGGCTATTAATATCAGCATGTTATCTCCCTCGCTGGTTTTCTACCCGAAGCAGTCTAAAATGACTCTGTCAAGTTAATCCAGCGTTCGTAGCGTGCTCAAAGCATGTTTCTGCTTCCGCATACCGGGACAGCTAAAATATTTGGTCTGCCTTTCAGCGATACGCTAGAATTTTATATTCGGCTGACTGCTGCTGTATGCTCTCTGCTGGACCAGTGGTCCGTGTCGATTTTCAGAAAAAGAACCAAATCATTCTACGATGAGTTTTCCGACCATTTACAGCACCATTTACCAAATCCAGATTGCTAATGTCCCAGTATCATCGGCCCATGTGGTTTATTTCGATTAGATTTTAACTGTTGTTGCTAGTCATCGTGATATAAAATAAACCACAGTCGAACAACGCGACTGCCCAGAGTAATATCTGGTATTAATATCAAGAAATAGTGATTTCGATCTCCATCGTTTTGTGCTACGGCTGACGTCATATTCCTCATCGCAAGAAGATTTAACTGAAACATGATGCAACTGAAGGGTTACTACAGAAAAATACTTTAGCACATTTGTCTTCTCTCATCTAACCGAGCGATGCACAGGTACTTGCTTTCTCCCATGTTTCTCTGGAGGAATACAGAACGGTTGAGGTCGAACATTAGTTTGTTATTTGGTAACAGGTAAGACCAGTTATCGCCCTTGAAAAACATTGTATACCGGTCAAGGGAGTGTTCACAGGTTGTGAAAATTCACAACCGCAATGATCAAAACAGTGCCGAATCTTCTTTCGTTAATTATGGGAAAAATAAAAATTTCTGACGGCAAATTAAGTAACTAGAAACGGAATTTCAATGTAGACTTGCTCTCCAGAAAGTCACCTCAACTCTGGCGTCTTAGAGGTAACGAATCTTCCATAGACGGAAGGCAGTTACGCGAACAGGAATTTGCTTTCTACTACAGGTATCAGGGTGGAACCAGCATGAAAATTTAACCCTGCAACAAGTTACTTTGGATATATCGCATGAATAACGAAAGAATAATGTACAAGAGAATATCCAGAGATAAAACAGCAGTAATATTAATGTGATGATAGGCTAAATTAGGCAGGAGGTATAATTTGTCGGACAATGGATGCATACTCGCGCCCAGAACTCAAAAGGAAGAAACGGTAGATCGTCGGCACAACACTTAGCAGGTCTTCTTTGGTTCCTGAATGAATGTAGCTTCGGCCGACAAACCGTTTTGAATTGTCCAATATCTTTATGCCAAGTGAAGCTGCAGATTCTGCTACTTGTTTAGCCATATTATCCATTGTTTCGTTCGGCACTAGATAACTACTCTGAGAACTCTCCACAACATGGGTCACTCTATCTGAGTCACGTTAGGGGTGTAAATTGTTAGAGACCATACAGTAATCTGCGTGAAAGGCTGCAGAATGGTACCTGAACTTGTCTCAACCGCCAGAAGATCGAGGTAGCTTTGCGCATTTTCCGGACTATGCTTGTAACGTGTTTTCCCCACTGCATGCTGTCGTCCAGCATAACTCTGAGTTCAGACCTGACTTCTGATTTCTCGCACTACTGGATCTTGAATTAAGCCTAAAACGACTTTGTTTTTAACTGCAAACTTCCTAACGCAAGGAATACATCCTGCCATTCTTCGGTGCAACCAGCCGAACAAGGGCTAGTATGTTGTTGGAACACCAACAACAGGGACAGCGTGGTGTTACGATGTAGTCATACCAGGCCAGAGCATGCGACATATACGACTTTAATGTCTGATATTTGCGCATTACGGTTACCGCTGTGCCATTTACCTTGACCCACCTGACAAACAAATGACTAAAATTCAGCAGAAGGTGTAATCGATGAAAAATAAGTAGCAACGTCAAGAGTTACGTTTACAAAAAGCACAACACTTTCATCAGGGTCGAACAACAAACATAGGAGAACGACAAATACAGATGATTCATAAGAGAAATATAAAAACTTAACGCATAATGTAGCGGATATCAAGCTACTGAACTGACATGCAGATGTTGAAGAGAGACATGAAGAACGATAGAGTAGACAGAAGGTAATTCAAGAAAAGCAAATGATCAGCAATAAGTCATACCAGAGCCATGAAATTGGACACGTAAAAAGAACAGCGGATGGTACGGCCAAAGCGGCCGTAGGCAGTGCACCGAAACAGGCCACGTTGACTCATGGCTGCGTTCTGAAACACGACAAAGACAAGAGTCACAAGGATTAGACGATGGACGAATGGCGACGTCGACACGGTGCCGACCGACACAGTGACGGTGACTGACCGGTCCCGTTTGGTCGGCATCGTAGAACCGAAACGACAAGGCAAAAAACTAATCGACATATTCGCCATCGTTCGCAAACTCACCTTTGACAACAAGTCGCGCTTCCACGGAGTGCCGTACATGGTCAGGCGTCGGCACAGCTTGTCGTCGTGACCCACCTGCATTGCGGACACGATGCAGGGAGGAGGGAGCGGATCGGCGGTCGCAGGTCAACGATAATCCTTGAGGTGTGTCTGTCTACAGAGATTCGACGGTCAACGGTGTCGAAGACAAACGCAGGCAGAAATGACCGGCTCCTTTTTCACGGTAGCAACACAGACGTCGTTGCGGCAGTCGGCAACCAACGACGAGTCACGTAACGCGTCCTCAGAATGTAGTCCACGCTGCAGGAGCCTCAAGCAAGACAAGACTACGTTCCACTTGTTTGCTTGTCTGATGCTCCACTTCCACCGACTGCCTAACACGGCTTCTTTCGACTACAGCCGAAAACTGGACGCCGCCGCAATCGTAGCAGATCGAGGCAAAAAACTGCCAACGCTGCAACGAAGTTGCGTGGCGCTGAGACAAGGCATCGGCAACACAGCTACTCTTCAATGTTTTGCGAAGACAATGCCGTTCAGTCGTCATCGTAGCTCCTCACCATAAACAACAGCAAGCGTAATAATCACATCTTTAAACATATAAGAACGCCAGACCGTACCATATTCGAATCTAGCGAAAGAATCCAGAGGTACAATGATGTATCTTCAACATCAAGCATACTATCTACCGTACTTCCACTCTAAATTAGTTGCTTTCGTTGAACTATCATTCTTAATAACACTGAATAAATGTGTCAACTGTTGAAAATTTTTATAATCGCCTGCTACATATGTAGCCTTTAATGCCCCATGATTATTTATGGAATTTTGTGAAAAAAAGTTCTATTCAAAAAGGACAAACTTCGAAATTAAAATTCTTTATGCACATTCAATGCAACTGCATTGTTCCTCACAAAAAGGGAAGCGATAGGGAGAGCGTTCAAAATCGAGAAGTTTAACTAATTAATAATTTATTTGTAAGATCACTTCATTTATTCCAATTTTTATCAAGGACGTCGAAATCGGAAAAGAAACCGCGCAAATTATTCCGTGATGTTAGCGGCGTCTATTTAGACGTGGTCAGTCACTTAACCCCAAAAATGCCCGCTATCCGTCATTGATTAAGCTACGCAAAAATAACGTTTAGAACCTTACATCGCAACGGTGCATTTCCGACAGGAAAATCAGCTAAGGTACATTTGTGATGATGTCATTGTGGAATGAATGAGACGACTTCTAGCAACGCAGCTCGATTAACCGATGGGAAATGGCCAACGATGATCATCAAGAGATAGGTATTTTGCGTAAAAAAGAAAACTTTGTTGTTGACCACAATATTGAAGGGATAATGTCAGAAAACGGAAGAAGACGTTTTGAGGGAAATAGCTATAAATTGCGAGGAGTGATGAGCGTGTTGCTGTCGGCACGATTCGTTGAAAGTTACTGACGGCTCTAAATGATACAATTTATTTTATGCTGCTATAAATGGTTCTGTTGAAAAAGTTTGCAGATATTTATATTTTTAACCATCCATGTATATTTGGTAATAATGATACTTTAGACTTTTGACACATTTTTTACAGTACACGTAGGTAAAACCGATCTGCAGGTTATTATTGTTTCACTAGGGTTTGTTTGTCATCGGTCACACAGTTTGTATCGACGTTGTGTGTTGTCTTTGTCAAGTGTTGATTTTGTAGGCTGCGTTGCCATTAGGTTTCTTCTGCAGGTCTTGCTGAAATTTGTGGCGAATATTGTCAGTGCCGATAAATCCAGGTATACATAATTTTGCCGCGGCTTTTCTTGTTTGTACGTATTCGTTGGTTGCAAAGGTGGAACGTTGCTGTGTTCGTCCTGGAGCTGTTCGCAGTGCTTGCTTTAGCTGCATGCTCCCTTCCGTTCACATTTCTGCACATTATTGTCTTGTTTCATATTAGTCTGCTGTTGTAATTAATGCTATTTTATTAATTTTAAATAGTTGCTTGTAAAAGCTGCGTCATAGCATAAGCACGTTCTGAACGTTTAAAGGAAATCGCCTAACCCTTGTGATTCTACATTTAATTCCAGAGTTTCATTATATGTACTTGTAAGAGACGTGTTGCTTAAAATGGTTGATGCAGCAGTTATTTTTTGCTTCTGCTCAGCTCTGTTACGAGCTCGTGGTACACATCATGTAGCCGTCCTTCCTAGCGTAAGAAACAGCGTTTGCAGCGTACCTTTGAACTTCCGATTATAATTGTTTTACTAGATGATACAAGTTCAGCTTTGCTTTAACGTGAAACCGATTGTATAAGTATTGGACGTTTTCTCTGTTTATTGCATCCGTATTTCTAAGCGTCAGCATCGAGTTTGAGTTGTCTGCCTTTTCAGACTTTGTTCAAGAGCTGTTCTTGATCGAAACAATGAGTTAAAATTATTTGCTCTTTGGTGAGTTTGAAAATTTGCTAATTTTGGCTGAGTTTGAATTCATCTGTCAACAGTGAACTAATAATGAATTATATGCACTGAAGTACGTTTGGTGATAGTTTATCGTCGTTAGTTAATGACAGGTTTACGTTTAAGCTGTGGTAGGTTTTTGTGTTGCTGTTATCTTAGTTTATCAACAGGATATATGAAAAGTTTAGTTCACATACTGCATGAGGAGAAATTGCGTTGAAGATCTTGTAGAAGAAGTATTTTACACCCTCTCAAATGATACAATTAAAGTCTTTTTGGCTCGTAGTCTCTGTTAGTATTTATGTTTATTGATCATTAATGCCTTTAAATGTTTGGTTTCAGTTAATTTGACTCTTATGTGTAAAGGTGTAACCATTGAGGGGTGGTGCAATTTCCTTCAAAAACTAGTC